TGTTCCAAGTAAGCGGGAGACCATTATTCCAGGGAATAAGGGATATACCATCTGGATAGCGTTTTCATTTGAAAAGCCCAATGGTTCTAGGGTGGATGAAATAATAACTTTTTAAGGGCAGCTAAGAGAATATTGTTAATAGATTTATGACGAGATTGTCGTACGGAAGAACTTGCAGTGCAGGGGATGGCTAGCCTTCGATTCGATGAGCTGGCCACAATAAATGAAAATGGAGGGAACAAGAGCATTTCAGCCAAGACGAAGGACTATGGACAGGCTTGTTAACCGATCTTTTTAAAACGATCGAATCCCGATCACTTTTCAAAAAAAGAGGATCGAAATCCAGGATCGACCTTTTTTTAAAAAAAAGATCGCGATCTTTTTTTCTATTTAAATTTCTGAAGGAGATTTCTGACCGATGCAAAATTAACTAATATATGTTATAAATTTATTGTAATTGTAACAATATAATATAACCGATGCAAAATTAACTAATATAAAAATAAATTAAATATGGTAGAAATTTATTGTAATTGAATAATAAATATAACAATTATAATATATTTATTTATAATTAAAATTAGCTTTTAATAATAAAATTTTTTCTAAATTATCATCATTTAAACATCCGCGTCTTTCATTTAGAACATGTTTAGCTTTACAAAACAAGCGCTCCACAGGAGCGCTTGATGGCAAAGGTGTATTATATTCAATAAATATTTTTTTAAAATTAATATAAGTATTAAAAATATTCATGGAATCATCATTTGAATAAAAAAATTTTTAACGGAACAAGCATTTTGTACAGTATTTTTCCACAAAAATGCATCAATGTCATCCATACATTCATTTGAGGTATCCGCATATGGTTGTTCCTGCATATTTTCCAAATGGGCAACTTATCTTTCTTTTACCATCATATTTTGTGGCAGATTAATATAAGGCCAATTAAGTTTAAATTTAGGGTAAATCATGGCTGCCAAAATGTTATTGTCTTCATACAGTGAAGGAAATCTATATTATGAAATGATAATTAATTTATTATTAAATAAGTGTTCATTTGATTCATATAAATCAAATCAAGTATCTGCAAAACCTAACCCTTTTAAATTTTACAGTCATGTCTGGCACATCATCTGTATGGTATTTATTTATATTTGGGTCATATCATAAATATTGATTAAATGTAAACTTAATACTTAATATACAAAGAAATTAACATTGTAATATATTTACAAAGAATATTAGCTTAAATTTCAAATAATCTTATAAATTTTTAATGTCTTCAAAGGCCCATTAATATTTTACTAGATATCAGAGGTTTAGTAGAACTGGCCTGTTAAAAATATTTTACTAAATTTGCCAGATCATTGCAATTTTTTAATATATTTTGCAGATATCTGATAATATAAAATAATTGCATAAAAAAATATTACCTTTTATCAATACCTCTAAGAACACTATTTACAAGGGGCTGACAATACCGCAGGCAGCTAAATTTCGTTAATTTATCTATCAATATCGATAGAATGGGAGTTAGATATCCCTGCTCCATATTATCCTCCCTTTCCAAGATTTTTAACGAGATCGCCAAAGGTTCCATAACCTATAAAATTTCAATTTATTTAGAGAATATCTTTCTATTACTGTTGCATACTCTTTAACAAAAAAACATTCCTCTTGCCTAAACATTGCAAATCCAATTTGATCACATACTTGTTCTACTTCTGAAAACTTTTCAGTTAAATGCCTTGACAAAGTTGGTTCCATTGTCAGTCACCTTCTTCACCACCTTATTATGAATTTTATAGAACTTGTGGATACCCATGATTTCATTGGCCAAAACATCATACGTTTGCCTCCCAATTATCCTCCTCAGTGCCAAAGCGGCTGACCTTCTCTTGAGGGTTAACGGATCCAGCCAATGTGCAGTAAGTCCAATAAAAGCCCTAATAAAATAAACATTATAAAATTCATATAAATATAATATACCTTCGATGACCACTCCAACAATCAGCAGTGGTGCATACATAAGAAACTTCAGACAAGAGAAGGAAGTAGATATCCTGTTGCCCAGTGTTTGGCGACAAATAATTTTTGTCACAGTAGAAAAAGTTTAATCATTTTTTCAAATGAAGGATCATCAACCAGAGACAGTGGTTGGAAGGTGTCAAAAATAAAATCTATGATAACCTTGTCTGCTGTTTTTTGCGATACAGCTGGAATGTTTAGATTGTTAAAATTTAATTTAGATTGTCTGGATTTGCAACCAGAACCACTTTGGTTTTGCAGTAATATATTTTTTTGTGTAGAGAATTCGTTGAGGTGTTTGGTAATCTCATTTTTAAATTAATTGTGCTTTTTCTTTATAAAAGATGAAAATAACTTCTCCTGAATCAAATTTCATTTTTAAAATTTTATATGGAAATTTAAAGTTAAAAAAAAAACAATGTACAGGCTGAATGTAAAACGTATATAAACAAAAAAATGATAAAGGGTTCAACAAATTTTGTTAAACATATTAAAGTATGTTATTATAGTTAAAAGGGGATAGGTTATCTCAAAAAGTTAAGTTACAATATTGTCTATCATTATTAAAAGTTGCCCAAGATGATATGGGCCAAAGATTTTGATAAAGTATTTTCCTATTATGAACATAATGAGCCTTTTTGGCATTTAAGAACTTATGGATTGAGTCAAATGATACAAAAAATACTTTCAATTCAAAATATATTAATAAAAAAAGCCCTAAAAATGTTGTCAAGAGGATTATATAATCAAGCTTAAACGAAAATATAATACTAATTGATTAGATTTAACATAATATAATAAAGAAATAATAGAATAGATATTTATTTTTCTTTTGGTGAAACATTGCTAAGTTCAATACAAATAACATTGAAATGGATGTTTTAATTATAATAAAGAAAATCAAAATACAATTTAAAGACTTAATTATTAGTTATTACACTTATATTTATTATAAATACTCTTCTTTTGAAAATTAAACTAATATAATAGTAATATTAAAAAATAAATGCCTAATTATTATATATAAATAACAAAACCAAGATTAACTCTTCATCAAATATTTTATCTAATAATTCATTTTTTTATAAAGAATCTGTATCTAGATTCTATTTCTGTAGGACCTGCTCAACTCAGGAATGTAATAAATTATATTTAAACATGTTGACATTAAGATTATCAAATGAAAAAAATTTAAAAGAATTACTTGTAAATGTCTCTTTAAGTTCGAGGATGATATTTTGTATTATCCTCTTACAGAGACGGCATTTGGTGCTGATCATATTATAAGAGTTGCTTTCATCATTTCACATAAAGTAAAATACTTACGTAATTTCAAAAATAAAAGATTCTCAATCACTTATATCTGCTGTTACATCAATAGTAGAAGCAATAGAATCTTCTAAATCTATAATGGACATTTACATTTACCTATTAAAATAAATATTAATATATTATTATAAATTTATATTAAATAACTTGTAAGAGCTCTAAATCTCGTAAAATTTAGGAAATGAATAAATATATCTATAAATAAATGGTGGAATGGAAGTTGATAAAATATGAAGATAGATATTTTTTTTAAATATTTTAATTTAATTTTCAAAATTTTTATTTTATTTAATGCTTTATAAGTAAAAAATTAATTTTTAAAAAGATCGGGATCGAATTTTAAACAAGATGATCTCGATCTCGATCCTCAATTTAAGTCAGAATCATAAATCTCGTAAAATTGACAAATTTGCGATCGAATCCAGGATCGTCGATCTTTTGATTCGATCTTTTAACAACTCTGGCTATGGATATATGTAACTGTTCGCTAGTGAGGAGGCTAATATTAGATCCGAGGATGGTTTCCAACCATATATAGCTGAGTTTACATTTAATACCATGTTGTTGAGATTTTCCAAAAAGGGCCTGTTCGAAATTAGGTATTCAACGGAACGGGCGATCAAAGGAGCCCAGTGACTGCAGGAGGCAGGACAGCAGAGAGTGGATGAGCAATTGCGGCCACAAAAGGTGAGGGCATGGGATAGAGAAGGATCTATTAATGATATTTTGAGCAGCCAGAGATAAGGTGAAGACTGAAAGAGATAGTTGTAGCTGGGATCGAATATCAATACCACTAGACTTGCTGGGATAGGGTGTCCAAGCCAGGATGAATTAGATAATTTTATGCTTTATATATTCAAGTAAACCTTTGATTTGGCATTCTGAGATTCTAGAAAATCCCTGCATTTGAAGATCGACAAGGATCTCAGGGCATAGAGGATTTTGGGTATATTATAGTAGTTTTGATTAAAAAAGGATTGATGGGCTAGTAGGTAATTAAATAATATGTTTAATTCAGCCAAATTGTTAAGGGATTTGTTTAAAAATTATGGCCTTTTCAATCGGTGATCCGAAATGTGTCATTTAATCTCTGTTGATGACGTGATATGTGGTGTCTTAAGGAATGGATGTAGGATTTAGGAAGGAAATCTTATATTTGGGGAGATTTAGTGTACTTCTGTAATATGTGAGAGATTCTCTATGTGGGGAGGGGTGGACAGGATTGTAGAAAGGTTGCCCACGACAATTCGAGATACCAGGAATTTAATGTAAGGATAGATATAGATTGAATTTCCTGGATTATTTTGTGGATCCCAATGCAAAAGAAGGCCGAGCATCGGGGATCTCGTTAAATTTCCTCTTGAGATTTGTTTATGTTATTATTGTATTTTAGAAATGCAGAGCTTGAATAACTGAGAGGAATATATGAGTGGTATTCAGGATAGCAAAACAAAAAAACGAAGTGTTAACATTAAGACATTATTGAAATGAAAAAAATATAAAAAATAAAATATTTTACCTCTCAATCTTCTATACTATAAGGGCACAATCATGTTTTAAAAAATGAAAAATAATTTTTTTTATTAAATTAAAATAATACTCCTAAATAAATTTAATTTTATTAAAAAGCAAATATTTATATCATCTCAAATTTCACATTCATTCATTCAAAAAAAAATGATCATATATATAAAAGTATTAAATGGTGAAGAGTGCCATGTAGAGGTGAATCACATTTTACAGAATATGACATATATATAATACTAGGTTTCTCCTAATGAGTCAATTGGAACTATTAAAAATTTACTTTCAGATCTTTTAAAAATACCTGTAAATAATCAAAAATTAGTATTTAAAGGGAAAACGTTATCTGGTTTAGAATCTAATTATCAAATATAATTTATATTGTTATTTTTAGATATTAACTGCCTTAAAGATTATAACATTGGACCTAATACTCGAATGCATTTAATTTTGTCAAAACCTCTCCTAATTAATAATAAATCAAGTACAACTGCAACAATTGACAAATCAAAAAAATCGTCCAACTCTAATTATGATTTTTGGAATATACTTCATAAACACATTGAGCAAACAATAAATAAAAATGATTCAGAAATTTTGATAGATGTTTGTAAAAAGGTAATATTGATTATTCCATTAAAAAATTTTGTTTTTTTTCCAGAATTTTAATACAGAGTTTGATCGTTTTAATTTGAATACCCTTGATAGGATAGCAAAATCACAAATGGAATCAAAATTGCAACCTCTACCTGACGACGATTTAAATAATGAATTATTGTAAATAAATTTCACATGCATTTTTCTCAAACTGTATTATATATATACTTTTAATTTATTATACATTATTTAAATAAACAAAAATTTAAGAATTTTTATATAAATATACATCTTGTCAGTTGCAATATAATATCTTTAAGATTAGTTACATTCATATTATTATGAGCTTTATTCACACATTTAACTGAATAATTTGATAATTGCTTACCCTTAATTTACTTTAAAAATATATCCCTAATATCAAGGCATAAGCATATCCAGGATTTGGCAAAAGGTGGGAAAGATATTTGGTTGGTTTTTTTCCCATAAATTTTATTGGAGGTCTTTAGGTCCACTTATTTTTTACCAGAGAGCTGGTCCATTTTTTTAAAAAAAATATCAGGGCTGGGCCTAAAAATTTTTCTTAAAAAAAACATTGGCTAGACCTAAAAAAATGTTTTTATTTTAAATCACCATTATTATCTATAATAAATATATTTAAAAATAGTGTATCAATGAACAATATATCATATTCACTTATCCTAATACCATTTTTTTTTAATTCTTAGAAAATATTTCCTGTAAAATATTATCTCAACTAATCATTATTTTAGGTGATATTCAATCAAATTAAAAGCAGCAAAGATAGACTCAATAATTTAAAATATATTACACTTTATAGGAAAATTTATTTTAGATAAGTTTCATTTTAGCTCTTCTTTTCTCTGTTCCCAAATTCAGGCAATTTTGCATGTCACTAGGGAGAGAGTGCAAAATAATTTTATTAAATTACAAGTGGAACAAGAAATAAGGGAATTACCATTGGTTGCAGTTGGCTGCAAGCTTGAATTGAAATTGTATATAGAAGTTGATTATATTATTATCGATGTTAACTAACACTCGCGATTAGAATTATTATTATTATTTGAATCTAAATAAGAAAGAAATAAATATATATAAATTATGATAATCCAATATATAATATAATCAAGAATAAAAACTTTACGACTATATTTTATTCAATCAGGAATCCAAATTATATTTTAAAAAATTAATAATCATTTATCTGTCGAATCTCACTTTTAACGCGATATATATATCATAATTGTTTTACAATTAAATTGAATATATGAAAATTTATAAAATAATATTATGTTAAATTTAAGATCATTTACATAACAAAATTACCCAAAAAATATTATCTTCGTCTACAATTTATTTATGAATAATAACTTCCAAAATTAACATTCTAATTTGCATATACAACAGTTCAGGTGAATAGAAAGTGTGGCAATTCAAACTGACTCTTTTTATGATAAATGGGGAGATTTGATAATTTGAAAAGTCATAGATTTTCATTCACTGAGAAATGATTCTGTAATGGGCTGGACTGTGCAAATGGTACCTATGTAGGTTTCCATTGTAGACCTTTGGCGAAATATTACATATGGGGGAGGGATGTAGGGGGAAATTTTTTATTAGCTAAAAATGATATTTACAAAGTTAGAATTTTGTTATAAAAATAGGGAACCCGCCCCCACCCACCCACATTTTTGTTTATGGGATATCAAGAATTTGGAAAAGAACTATAAAGAATTTTGGAAAAGGAATAATATTTATTTTAGAACTCTCTTAGAATCCAAAGTTACCAAATTAAATTATTAGGCCCATATGGCAAGTATCAATTATTTATCTTGTCTAACCTGAATTTTCAGTGTCCTGCAGAGGTACCGATTGCATGGCCAACCCTTGATTTGTTAAATTGACCTGGCTCAAATTTTTAATATCTAATGACTTGACAATCTTTATGTTAAAATGATAGATAAAGTTTATTTCATTTATTACCGAAAAAGAGTAATGAAATAAATAGGTGTAGGAATTATATTATAAACTTAAGTATTTTCCAACTATCGATAAAATGGTTCTTGAAATGAAAATAGGAGAAGTTGAATGAATGTGACGTATTGTTCTATGATAAACAATTATATATAGTTGTTAAAAGATACTTTAAAAAATGGATATAGTTACAGATACATCATCTAAAAAAGTGTCTAGATTTCCCTATTTAAAATATGACCTAGCTGGTGTATTTAAAAAAAAATATTTTAGGATTGGCTCAGGTAGTTTCGAAATTTTTATAAGGCTCGGCCCCAGCTTTATTTGAGATAATAATTATTAAGCCCCGGTTCATATACCCAGCGGTAAAATTACTAAAAAATAAATATAAATTAAGGTTTCTTCAAAAAAGTTGGTCATAAAATTGTCCGAAATTTATAGGGCGAGTTTCCTACACGTATTGGAATGCATTTCCGGCAAAATCAAATCTTTAAATTTAAAATAAAACGCGCCCAATCAACGATTTAAAATGCAAAACCTACTGCGCATGTCGACAAAACCCAAACTACCGCCTTACCAAAATATTTTATATAAACCGATCCTATATCATTTTTAATTAGTCCCAAGTTCCAAACGTTGAAATAAATACTATGCTTATTAAACCCTTCTAGTTAGTGTTAAACGGTTCATAACTTAATATTTTATCCAGAAAAATAGTGCCTAAGTCTCGAGATTTAGATAATGTATGTCTAGATCTCTGTTCCTTCTATGAGAAAAAATGTTCAGGATTGCGTAATATTTTTCTGGTTGAAATCTTGAGTTAGCGAAAATAGGCTCAAAACGAGCCGTTTAACAACACTACTACTAGCTTATTATGGGTGATTCATATCAAATCGGTATACGATTCGAATTATCTCAGGGGTATTGGTTATATTATGTTGTAAAATTTACCTAAAGTTGATCAGGAGTTATGAATTTTCAAAGTCTAATACAGGTGCCATCTTGGCTTTAAGAATCTCAAAATACTCTAACTTATTGTATCGCGTCAATACCCCAAAACTTATTTTTTGCGCGAAGAGTATTATCGCGAATGCGTAATTGCGAAAAGATATTTCCGCTAAATTCGTTACCTTGAATGTATCACCGCAAACACAATACCGGAACGCATAGCAGTCAATTTACTAGCACCAAGACATTATATCGAATATATTTCCTCGAATGTATGTTACCGTTGAAAACATTATCGCGAATGTCTCTTTTTTTTAATCAAAAACATCGCCAATGCATTATAGTAAATGTAATACCGCAAAAACATTATAGCTTTTTTTTTGGCAAATGAAAGCATTACAGCAAATTCAACATAGCCAAAATACTGCCTCAAATACAATATAGTTAATATAATGAATTTAAAGTTTTAAACATTTCTTTGCTTACTTTGTATACATTTTATTACAATATGGGGTTCATAAAATTAACATATGTTTAATTTTTGAATTATCTGGGAGATTCGAATCTTTAGCAAAATTTCGCAGATCTAACGATGTTTTCTAAAATTAAGATCGAATTTTTTTTGCCAACGAAACATTGCTTCTGTCCATTTTAAAAATTTAATTTTTTTAAACTTTTTCCATAAAATATATATAAATAAAATAGGATTATTTTTTTAGATTAATTTTTTAAAATTAAATTGGAGCAATTATTTTTTTTTTTAAATAATCTATTTCCTGTCTTATTTTAACATCCGCTATAATTTATGTTTAAATTTCGCGCTCATTTTTTTTTCCGTTTAAAATTTTTTAATCAAGTTACCACATTCAAAAGTTGTATCACTTTAAATAATGAATTAAAAGATAAAAATAAAATAATTTTTAGGTTTCTCAATGTTTGTAACAAATGGTAATCGAAGATGTGGATTTAGAATATTGAAATAGCGGAGGAAGAAAATCGTAACGTAAAATTAAACTTGTAACTTTTCCTCAGCCCCGAATTATTACCTTAGGAGAAACGGAAATGGGTGAAGAAAAATTAGAATTCTAACAGAGATTCCCTTCTGAAGGACAGCAATATTATTGCAGCAAGGATCCCACACATTATTCAAACTTAACCAAATGCTGTTAAAAGACAAACTCGTTACACGTCTAGTGAATCAACTTGATCAACTGAAAATACTTTATAGAAAATTGAAAATTTTTTTTACAGAAGAGAAATTCTTATATTTATGAAATACCTTTAAATTAGAAATGTCTTCAAAATATAAATGGTTATTAATAATGGGGTAAAATATCTGAACATTATCTTTATAGTCTATACCATGGACTATGCACGTCCAATATCCATAAAGCAACAGGAAAACATAATAAAGGCCACTTTATCTACCTTTCTATAATTGATATTTTTCAAAAAACAAATCTTTTTATTTAAAGGTATAAGAGATACATATAATTAATTATATTGTGTTGCTCTTAACCGTTTTAATTTCACTAGTTAAATTACTGAGAGCCTATTATGCTCAATGCGTACAATTATACATAATATGCATGCAGCCAAAGAACATAAGCCAGCTTGTACTTTATGTCTCTTTTCAAACCTTATACATTATTGATATTCAACTCTCTATACACTTAATTTTTTTTTTCTAGTAAAACACATTTTAAAAAATAGTAGTTAAATGATACCCATAAACATTACATAATACGAATAAATTAGGAAGCTAGTTATCATGTTAAATATCGCGATCTCTCTTTCTAACAAAAGAGAAAATTGATTCCAGTAAAAAAAAGATTACCAAAAATTGGTCACACGATTAGTTTCTATGTATATTTTATACAACTATGATAACATCATAAACGTCCCCACAAAAACTATGTTTATCACCAAATTAATATCCATCTATAATAATATAAATCAAAAAATTAATGTTTATAGTGTTTAAAATGACAATAATAATAGTACTTTTCTTAATAAACTTAGTGAACTACTTATTCCGTATATATTAAATATTACCATGAAAGAATGGCTATAATTCCACATATACTAATAAAATATTCTATACATGTATGATGTATCTATAATAATGCCACCCAAATATTTCCCACATATGTGCCTATTATACATAATATAATTATCAAACAAACTTGGAATTAAAATATTTATATATAGTAGGCCTATTCAAAAACGAATTCGAATCGAATAGTGCATTTTTTTAATAAAATAAA